GGCTATGTTTCTAAAATTATAAAGCATTGGCATTGCCACTCTCGCCATTAAAAGAAGAGAAAAACAGTTTTTGACTTCTTTATCCCCAGTTGCAGACATTGGGTGTTACAGGCTGAATTGGTTTGGAAAGGACCTAAAGTTCATCTACCTCCAACCCCCTGCTCTGGGCAGGGACACGCTGTTTAAGCTTTTGGCTGATCCTTTAGAAAATCCTCATCCCATTGTGAATCTTCCATTCCTTTCTGCAGCTACTGATTTGCACCATCAAACCTCAGTATGTTCTTCCTTGGAGAAAATGAGGATTTTGTGAGGCTTTAAACTCTTGCTTCTCTTCCATTTAACAAACGAATCTTGCAGTGTTGTTCTTCACCATCTACAGCACCCAAAACATTGCTGAGAGCAATGTGGACACAGTACTCCAATAACTGGTTACACCTAAGAGTAACACTATGCTCTTATTTTACTCCTCATAAAGGCAGAAATGGAAATTTACACACAGGTGTTAAAAGACCATGGCCACCATCACTTCAGCCTATTGTCCTGGGAAGAGCAATTCTGGGAAATAACCTACCTTAACTACACCAAAAACGATACTCAGGCTTATGTTTCCCATTGTAAYGAGAGAAGTTAGCTCATATGTGACTTGGCCTCCTCAGTCACTTGCTGACTGTGATTTCTCACTCTTCCAATTTTTGTTTTCTCTACAAAGCACCCCTAATCAAAGCTTAACATTTTCTTTTTGCTGACAGACACCAAATATCAGTGCTTTGGAACAAGAAGGTACACATGGCAAATGACTGCTGGGAGCTTGGAGAACACACCAGTAAACCCTCCAAAGCACTGGGACTGCCMAAACCTAGAGACGTGTTGTCAGACCTTTCAATACTTAATATAAGATTTGTACCAAACCCTTTGGAGCAGATCCTGGTCCAAAATACCACTGGAGACTCTAAATAGTGAGCTTGAAAACATTCCAAATCTAAAGCTTTTTCTTTGACCAAGGATGCCCTAAATCACAGTTTAAGAGAGATTAATGAAATACTGACAGGTGAGAGCAGGAAGTGGAAAGAAATGAAGGCAGGGCAATAAGTAATACACAGCACACATCCACTGGAGCATCTTTGCTGTGCAAACCCCAGAAATCTGTGTGCCTACGTGGTATTCCATGTGCACGGATGTTACAGTGGAGGATGCCAGTGGAAATAGAAGCACTACTGAGTTTTGAATACACTTGGGAGCAACAAAGGTTTCAGCAGCAAGGTCAAGAAGGAGAAGGATAATTCCTGCAGCAAATCAATACACAAATGCCATCCTGAATAAATTGGGTGACTTGCAGAGTAAAAACATTCAGTCTTAGATAGTCCTGGCACGAAAGGAGGCAAAATATAGATCACTTTATGTTAAGGGTGAAATGGAGCTCTAGACACCCAAACTCAGTTATCGCTGTAGGGCTTGATATTGATAGTCCCACCACATCCCAAAGGGCACAGGGAGTGATCCAGCTGACCCTCACACCTCGGGTCAGGCACACTGTCTGTGCTGGAGGGAGCTACTCCTTGCTCCAAGTGAAGGAAATAAAGCAGACTGAGGGTGAAGAGAAGATTCAGATGCAAAAACAGAAGAACAGGACAGAAAATTTCCAACAGCAAATGAGTGTATTAAAATTCTAACATCATGCTCATACTTGGTGCATTATTCTCTATTACCACTTTGATTCCTTCTAACATGTGTTTTTCTGTACACGAGACAGAAAGGGCTCCCATCCCTATTTCCTAATGTCATTTACCTCATTCTAAGCCTCCTATAAAAGCTGCCTTTCTGTTTCTATTTTCCCTTTTTAAGATGACTCAAGATACTCAAACATAGGGCTCAATGGCAAGGGAATAAACACACAGGTTACAATCCCATCTCCTACGAGCCTGATATGACATAAACCATTCCCATTTTTACTTCAGGTCAAATTTTACCCTCTGCAAGGCCTGAACTTTTTTTGCTCTGTGTTCCAAACTCATTTTCCTAGAGCTACATAGTGGCTACACTTTGTTTGCACACCCGAAAGACCCTTGAGCCAGGAGGCTGAGGAGCAGTGATACGGACATGTGCCAGCAGCTGGGCAGAGAAGTTTAGCTGAAATACAGAAAAGGAAAGAAGTCAGGACAATCTTGTATTATTTTACAAGATCTGATGGAGATTTTGGATTTGTAGCACGCTGCCTCCTCCACAAGGAGCAAAGCAAACTTGTTTCAGCCAAATGATGCTGCTCCGTTCCATTAACCAGCCACACCAAGAACAGTGTACGCCTTCTCCCACCACATCTTCCAAATCCTGGCTGAGTAAGTTTGACTACTAAACCTGCCAGCACACTCTCTTTTCTGCCCTACACATATCTGAGAATAAGCCCCAGTGATCAGCTTTTCACTCTGCACTGTGATAAGAAGCAATGCTTCTGCTGGAGGCAGAGTGATGGATGGGAATCACCACAGCGTATCTTATTTCATATCTTACTTCTGGGTTACGATTAAACAAGCACGGAGTTACTCTACACAACCCGTGGCAGGCAGGTGACTGTAACTTGGCTAGTGCTAAATAACAGCCCAAAGCAGAGGAAGATCTTCCTTCAAGCTGCAGCATTTCATAGAATCGTGGAAYGGTTTGGGCTGGAAGGGACCTTGAAGATCTTTTAGTTCACAAGAAGGGACACGTTCCACGAGACCAGGGTGCTCCAAGCCCCATCAAACCTTGGACACTTCTAGGAATGGGGCACTGATCATGATTTTTAACTACTCAAGAGACCTTTTCTTGGATTTTTGAAGAATCACTACAAAACCCCACCACTTTCAAGCCATAAAATCATCTTAGATAACAAATTCTTGGGTGGACTTTTGTTTCTGGACACAGTCTTTATCAATACATGTGATTATGACACAACAAAGATTTAAAATTTCTTCAAGATTTACAAGTATTTTTATCAGAAGGTGAATGGAAGAGCAGAGATCAATGAATTACAAGATAGAGTCACTAGATTAAAGGAAGGAGCAAGATAAACAACAGCAAAAGACAGGAATGTGCCTGGAAAGCAGCACCCTGCTGAACTGCYTGTCAAACAGCCACACATGTAGATTGAATTTAGACTGGAGCACACCGACATGATGCCAGAACTTCAGCTTTCTTTTCCTTAAAACATGCATCAGGCTGTAACTTAATTTATAGAGACATTTCTCACTAGGTTGCTGCTCAAATATTTTAACTGAGCTCCAAAGCACAGTATTTACTTCTCAGTCTATGTTCTTTATACATTCCTAGATAACATTTAACCCCAGGAGCCACAGGGAATGTTATGCTGACTCCAGCTTAGTTTCTTGCCAAGAAAGCAAGCAAGAAAAAAACAGCTGCCCTAGTAAAAAAATTATCTACCTTCAGAGAATACAGAAAACCTCAAAGACTTCAATTATTTCCAAGATTAAGGGTTATCTGTTTGAAAAGCAATGATTATATTCTGCAGCAAGTTCACCAGTAAGGGCAGAAACATCTGAAGCAGAAAGAGGAAGAAGAGGAGAAGAGTTATCAGACATCATTCTGCTTTATTACCAGAGAGGAGCCCCTCATCTGGAATAAATTCAAATTATTCACACCACTGCACTGCAAAGTACAACCAGCCACAGATTTTTGAAGATATGCAGGAAACAGGAACTTGCAAAGAATCCCAACACTGTAAAAATTAATCCCCCAAATCCTCTTGATCCACCACTGTGTGGAAACAAACCTCTTTTGAACAGAACAGTGACAAGGCTGGGTGTCTTCAGCTGCCAAGAGCTTTATCCCAGCAGGACAGCTGGGAGGAAAACCAATGGGAATTCAGATTTCACCTGAAAATCCCAAAGCAGGGGAGATACACACCTCAGATTCCTTTGGGAACCTGGCCTCAGGTAATGACATAGAGATAATTATACACAGACAGAGCACACAGTCTCACTCAAATAATGTTGGGCTTCTCTCACTTTGCCCAGAAATAAACAGATTAACACAAGACAAAGCTCCTAAAAATAATTCCAGGTGCAGTGCAGCCCAACCTCTGATATCTGTACACTATACAGGACTCTCCTTTCATGCTTTCAGCACTTGGCACACCAAGAAAAAACAGTGAATGCGTGTGGCAAATGCTGCTYGTGGCACACAGGACTGCTCTACAAACACAACTCATGTATGCCATGTATTTGCACTGAAAAATGAGGACTAAGGACACATTCTGTGTGCCACAACAATTGGCCACCTCACCCTGGTAACCCTGAGTGCTTTGGGTGGAACAGGAGATCAGGCTCCATTGAGAAGCAAGAAAAGAAGGTAGTGAAAAAAAAAACCAGGGATAAACAAGGAGGAATCAGATTTTGGGGGTGTTAAGCACAAAATTATTTACATGATGCAAACACAGAAAGTTGTGAAACTGGTTTGGACCATGGGTTGGTGGAGAGSAAAAAACCTTTGGCTTTAAAATTTCCTTTTTAAAGTAGTAAACTACTTTTCCAAATCCTGGGTGGCTTCCCCACCTTTCTCTTATACTCCTAATGTCCCAGAGGAGAAAAAAAAACAACCACCCATATCTGAATAAGGTTTAATTTGAAAATGGGTATTGGACTTCTTTTTTTAAACATATTAAAGCAACAGCTAAAGTTTCTATTTTCTGTTTCCTATTTTGAAACAGATGTAAGAATCTCCTGATTTATGTGGTTTTGTATGTAAGCTATCTAGAAATAGAAGTTCTGGGAATTCAGAATATTCATCCCTGTTTTTTTGGTGCTTTACAGAAACTGCAGCATCAGGATACAAAAATAACACAATTTGTCACTGAAATGGTAATCAAAAATACACTAAAGGCCTAAACAGCAGCATTAACTCGATTAGCTTGGCCTTCAATTAAAGGTGAATATGATGTATATGTGAGTAAGTGTAGAGCAAACAACTATAAAGAAGCAATCTAAGGAGCAACACTGGATCCTCCTCACCTCTCTCCGTCGGGATGCCCAGCAACTTTGTTTAATCTTCCAAACCACAGCTGCCACTAGGAGCAATGACAGAAAACAACTGGAAAGAAAAGGAAAAAAAATAGAGAATTATATCTTATTGCCATTGTTCGTAACACACTGGTAGCTGAAAAACTCTAGGAAATGAAAAATTAATTTAAAAGTTCATATAATAATTAGAGATACATTGATGAAAGATAATGCAGCATAGTTCAGTGCTCATGATACCCAGTGAGGAATGACACAGTTATTTTCAGGGAAAACTGTTGATCCAAATCTCCCTATCTGACTTCTTTATATGACATTCCCCTATTTTTCCAATCACAACAGTAAGGCTGACAGATTTAATCAGGTTGRAAAAGCCAGTATTGCCTATCTCTAATGATATTTTAAGCAGGAGGACAACCCCCCAAAAGAAAAGCCTTTAAAGAAGCAGAGAAAATAGATTATTATTTCTTTTCCCAAAATTGCAAAAATAAGATACAGTGCAGAGTAGTTGAATTCTTTTAAACAGGCTGTTGCACAACTACAGACATTTCTTGATTTCCCCAAATCTGTATTAGTTTTCTTCAGTCAAAAGAGGGGGAAAAAAGGATGAATGGATTTATCAATTTCTAGGGAAATTCAAGGAAGCAGATATTACAAAAAGCAGTTATAGTAATAATAATGAAAGCCAACTGTATTGACAGTTCTGATCTTATCACACTGCATACATAAAGAGCAACTTCAAGGCACAAAAGCTAAGATTAAAATCAGAACCCCAACGGAAGCTTCTTTCCTCAAGGACTGCACTGATGAGCTGCAGAAAACATCTCCAAATCTCTTCCCACGTTCCAGCATGTATTGAAAGACAGTTTAAAGGAAAGTTCCCATTGAAAGGAAGATTAACCAGAATTGATCACGGATTTGCCCAAGTGCAGCATTCACAGCAAGCACTGGGCTCTGGATGCTCCAACAGGGATTTCTCTTGAACAGAGGCTTTGCCAAGGACTGGGAAGATGCTCTCACTCACCACAACTCTGACAGCCGTGGCACGGGCAGGCTCTGCTCCCAGGGAACAGCGTGACAGCAAACAACAGCCTCATGGGTATTTGGGAAAATCTCTTCATGGAAAGGGCTGTCCTGGCCTGGCACAGCTGCCCAGGGCAGTTTTGGAGTTCCCATCCCTGGAGGGATTTCAAAGCCCTGTGGATGTGACTCTTGGGGACACGGGGCAGTGGTGGCCTTGGCAATGCTGGGGGAGTGCTGGAACTCAATGATCTCAGAGGGCTTTTACAACCTAAATGATTCTGAGATACTATGACTTGGAAATACGTGTAATTCAAAACCAGGATAGAAAGCAGGAACTATTCCCTGAGAAATGCCACAGAAGAGGAGACTGTTCTTGCTGCCGTAACACCACCCACAGAATCCATCCTATGAAAATTCCCTGGATCGTGCACAGAACACTCAAGGGCAGCCAGTCAGTGAAGGGACTGCATTTCCCAGGCTTAGATATGCACAGAAATGTGCTTCACTGTCATAAAGCACATGATCTTGAAAAACTGGCACATGCTTGGTCGTGGCCCAGGGTGCCCAGAGCAGCTGTGGATCCCTGGATCAGGGTCCAGGCCAGGCTGGACCTTGGGCTGGGATCACCCTGGACAGTGGGAGGGGTCCCTGAACATGGAACTGATGGGCTTTCAGGTCTCTTCCAACCCAAACCACGCCATGAATCCATGATTTTAGATGCTGTTTATGTGCAACATAAGATGCTGCCACGGCTTATCCATGTTTATCTCCTCACTACACCGTTATYTGGGGAAACAAGCTGGGAGTCCAAAGGGCAGAGGAAAAATGGCACCAATGGCAAAAACACCATTAATGTCAAGCACCTCTGTTAAATGAGGAGAATCAGCCGTTTGAGAGGAGTTTCTCCAGGAGGAGTTTCTCAGGAGGTCAGGGATACAGATGAACTTGCACTGAGCCAGCCACAGACAGAGAGTCCACGAGGTCTCCACCTTCACACAATCCACACGCTGCACTCACGTTAGGCAACATTATCACACTGTACTAACAGCCAGCTCCCAAAACACACACCCAACTGAAGATACACATCAAATCAATGCTAGGATGGCCCCTTTTTAGGAAAAACGTGACCTCAGCAATTTGAAAACTGTTGGACCTCTTATTCTGGGTTGGTTTCATACAATCCCAGAATCATTTGTGTTGGAAAGGGCCTCTAAGATCAGCGAGTCCAACCCTTACACACTGCACTGCTAAAGCCACCCTAAACCACGTCCCCAGGGGCCACATTTCCAGTGGCTCTGTAAATATGTCTCCCTACATATTATTTATTCCCTCAGAGAAGAAGGCTGGCGTGGAAAACTAAGATTACCTTTATTACCAAGTCCCCTTTCCCAAATGAAACACTGCACACGTCTGTACGTCCCAGAGTCTTTTCATGGGTTTCTCTTTCCTGCCCATTTCTGGCACCACAAGAAAGCCAAGACTTTCTTGAGAAAACACAGAGAGAGGCATTACCAATTAAAGATCAATAAAAATATCTCCTAAAATGTTCACCACAGTACCCATGTATTTCAGAGGAAGAGCACCATATATCTTTGTACTGTCACAAGGAGGCAGCAAATACCCACAAAAGTTATAAAATCACTAAGGAACTATATTTCCCCCCTTGAACTAGCAYTCCTTGGAAGCACTCAGGGAGAAATAAAAGGCAGAGCTTGCTGCAGTCCATCACCTGCTGGAAGAGCCCAGGGGTAGAGCAAAGTCAACATCTATTGTTGCATTTACTCAGCCTAAACCATCCTGAAATAAGTTAGAAGACCTGATGTGCGCATCAGTAGCTTTAAATAAGTTTTTTTTYCCCTACTTTCTCTGGGAAAGCAATGAGGGACCAGCAGATGTGGGACCAGCAGCAAGAAACAGCTGCATGCAGGGAGAGATGTGCTGGGAAATGATTTGGAGTGAGAGCAGAGTCCTGGTTAAACGCTGTGCTCTGCCCTGCTTTCTTCTCAACAGCCTCAGGCACATCTCTGCCATGAAAATCCAAATGGCTGGAGAAGCTATTTGTCTTTTACAAAGGTTTTAAAAATTAAACTTTACTACAGGATTTGCTTCGTTCTCTAGAGCAAAGTAGAGCTTCCATTGGCCCACACAGTTGTAAAAATCTATGCTTACACAGCATAAATATTGCAATGCAGGGCAGAGATACATTTAAACTTTATGGACAATATTCTATTTGGCAAATAGCTTTATTAATTCGTTCTTAATTATTCATTAGACTATTTAAGTACACTAAATGAGCACTGTGGCTATAAATAATCTCAGCTGGCCTCAACACGTGCATGAAACCTTAACTGATCAGCATTCAGTGCTTGTTTACCATAAGGTATTCCCCACTGACACAAAAATCTGAACTTAAACACACTATCTGGTTCTATTCTGAACTTCAATCTCCTTTTCACCACAGAGAGAATATTCTTTCCACTCCCAGTATCCTTAAAGCTTTTCAACCAAGTCCATTTTCATTTTTAAATGTCTGGAAAACTCCATCAGTACTTTACTATAATGCATTTTTAGGAGGGGAGAAGAAAATCCATCTGGTGTATTAGGGCCCAATTATTAAACTCTCGTGAAATGTTTATCCACATCAGAATTGCTACTAAAAAATGGCAGCTTTAAACACCAAAATGTGAGCAGCCTCTCTGCTAATGTGCTTTAATATATACAGGTCACTTAATAATTTCAGAAAGCACTGCCATGATTACTAGAAACACAGCCCAAATTATACTGATGAATTGGAAGCTATTTAAGTGCCATATACAAGTAAATTTTAATATGCAGGAGAGTTACAGGATACATTTTAAAGTACTGGATGCATTAAACCTTGAAATAATTGGAACAAGTACATAACATGCCTGTGGTTTGAATGGCTGGGCTTTGCCCAAGAGCTGCCTGCAAGGCCCATGGAGATTGCTGAGCTCATCTTTCTGCCAGGATGGCACAAGGCTCAGCAAACCACAGCTCCCCTCAGTTGTGGCTTTGCCCAAYGGGGACGGGGAAGGGTCTGCAGCACAGGGGCCGTGGGTTAAACCCTGGTGGAAATCAAACACCACCAACCCCCTGCTCTCCCACCTGGTGGAATGGGGAGGGGAATCAAAAGGAAAATTTGTGAGTTGAGAGAACAATTTAATAATAGAAAAGAAAGTAAAATACAGTAACAATGGCTAATAATAATGATGATATGAAAAAGAGAAAGAAAAAGCCCAACCAATTAACCGATGCACAATTGAATTGATCAGCACCTGCCAAGCGATGGCAGCCCCCCTTCCCAGATCAGACCCTTCCAGGTGACTCCCCAGGTATACACAGGGCATGATGTACTGGGCTGAGGAATATCCATTTGGACAGCTGGGGTCACCTGTCCCACCTAGGACACCTCCCAGTTTGAGTAACTTCTCACTAGCAGAGCAAGAGAAACAAAAAAAAAAAAAACCCCCACAAACTTCCGAGAAACACAACTTAGCAAAATGCAAAGCATCCATGTATTATCAACGTTATTCTCATTCTGAACCCAAAACAAAACACTACAACAGCTCCTGAGAATAAATTAACTCTATCCCAGCCAGAACCAGGACAAGAAGTCTGATCAGGAGGGGCTGAGGGAGCTGGAAAGGGGCTCAGCCTGGAGCAAAGGGGATCATTTGGGACCTTGTGGCTCTGCACAACTCCTGACAGGAGGGGACAGCGGGGGGATTTGGGATCTGATCCCAGGAACAGGGACAGGAGGAGAGGGAACGGCCTCAGGCTGGGCTGGGCAGGGTTATGTTGGATATTAAGGAAAATTTCTTCTTGGAAAGGGCTGTCCAGCCTGGCACAGCTGCCCAGGCAGGGGTGGAGTCCCCATCCTCGCTCAGACTTCAGCGTTTGTTTGGCTGAATTTATCATAGTCAAGGCCTTCCCTAAAATCTTTGTGGCAGGGCAATTACTTATTAGGAAAATGAACAGGGAAGCAGTTGGTTCCTTCATTCATGTCCTCCTTTGAGTCTCTCAGTGCTGCTACACCAGGAAAAGGAAAGGCAGCGGTGACAACACAATCTCTGCTTCCAACTCCGGTCCTGCTGTTTCTTGTGATTCCACATCCTTATTCCATTCAAATCCATCTTAATGCTCCTTATTAATCACTACAGAAGTGGGCAATAGGCAAAAGGTGCACAGAAGACAGAGAGAAACAGAGAAGGGGAAGGGGAAGAGGGAAGAAAAAAAGAAGGGAAGAGACAGAAAAAGGGAAAAGGAAAAAGGGGGAGGATTATTGGGCAATAATATGTGCTCACAAGGCCACTAATATTTTCACATCTTATGTACATAAAGGTACACTGGTGATAAATACCTGTGATAGGTAGGTGTGCTGGCAGACAGATTTTTTGGAAGTTAAGGACGCACAGATGTAAATAAAAAATGTTCACTAGAAATTGCCAAAATAGCTCAAACTATGTGCTGAAAGACAACTGCATCATCTGTAAATTAAAGAGCTGTGTTATGAAAAGCAGAGAGAAGGAAAGAGAAAGCCCAGTTTACTTGCAGTGCATTAGCTTTGCAAAGGTTAACAATGGTTGGAATATAATTTCTCCTCTGGCTCTGATTATAATGCAATATTAACGATCTCAGAACTTCACTGTTGTACCCTTTATCCACTGACATTTTCTTAGCTTAAAATAAAACATTCATGTGGTACAAATTAAGGGTAACACACAGCCTGCTGCCTGGCTTGGTGCTGAACTCTGAATCCAGAAGGAGTTYCGAAGAGTCCGACAGCACCTCAAAATGTGAGGCACAACCCTCTGAGCACAAGAGCAACTCCCAAGTGAAATGGAAGCCAATCCATGTCCTGCCCCGCACTGTCTGGTGGTGTTTGAATGCACCACCAGGTTCCTGTCCTGCCACACCAATGTGCTTCTCACAGGCAGTGCCTGGGCTAGCAGAGATCAGCAGTGCTGCAGTTGGGCAATCCAGCTTGTCTGCTGCAAGGACTGCCTCCACCTAATGCATCTCCAATGCCAGCAACGAAACCCCAAGTTCCCCATTTCCCTCTCAGGCTCTCCACGCAGCTCAAGGCACAGCTGATGCCTGCAGGGGCACAGCAGAAGGGCACAGTTAGGCTGGGCTTACAAACAAGGGGAGGAAGTTTACACAGAATATGGAAATGTGCCACAGTATCTCCAGTTCAGAACGTTCTCCCAAATTCATGGGATCACAGAAGGGTTTGGGTTGGGAGGGATCTTTAAAATCCCCTCGTTCCAACCTCTCTGCCATGGGCAGGGGCACTTTCCACCATCCCAGGCTGTCCCAGCCCCATCCAGCCCAGCCTTGGGCACTGCAGGGATCAGGGGCAGCCCCTCTGCTCTGGGCAACTCCTGCACCTCCTGCAGAAGGGCAAAATGAGGCAACACGCTTAAATGCACAAACAGAAAGTCACTTTAAACATCTGTTTTCCAGAACAACATCTTTTTATGTCTTCATTACACCTAAGAAATTGATACATATCCCAATTTTTGAGTTTGGTGTTAGTGTTACCAACTGTTTTAAGGTTTTCACAAAGCCTCTGTCTTGCTCTATTTTAGGGAGCAAATTCTCAGCCAACTCTTGCTCATTAACAGCACAGGGGGCTCTCAGATATTAGTTATTTATGGTCTGCCTTGGATCCAACTGTAATTATGAAATGCGCCCTAGAGCATTCAAAATGCAAACGTTTCAATAGTTTCCCCTACACCCAGTGAGATGAATCACACCGTTCTAATCCACTGGTTAATTAGAGAGTTATACTGACTGTCAAATAAAACACTTGGAGGGGAGCTTAGGAGTAGAGAAAGAAACAAAGAACTTCTAATGCATTATAAATGCTTAATTGGAAAACACCAAGAAACTGTCTTCTCCTAAATCCACACATTCTTATTCCTCTGGCTTGTTAGGTTGTTTAATAATATTGCAACATTACTTCTCAAGGAGATCCGTGTAAGAACAGTAATGGAGGAAAATCACTGGTAACTCTTCAACCTGCAACTTTCCCACATGTATGTTCAGCTGCATGTGAGACACATAACACACTTATCTTCTGCTTTACCCTGGGACTGAAACAAGGGAAGGATTTGGGTTGGAAGGATCCTTGAAGCACATCTGGTTTCCCACTCTGCCATGGGCAGGGACACCTCCACTGCTCCAAGCCCCGTCCAAGCTGGCCTTGGACTCTTCCAGGGATGGGACAGCCACAGCTTCTCTGGGATTCTCTTCAAACAATTCATCTGCAACAATCTCTCATCCTGAGGTGCTTAAGCCCTCGTATGCAGATATATCTGCAAAGTCCTGATGGACAGTTTTTTAATGCAGATTTACCTTACAGAATTAGAAAAGAATGAAGGAACTAACTGCTTTCCTATTCATTTTCCTAATTAGTAATTACCCTGCCACAAAGATTTTTAGGGAAGACCTTGACTATGATTAATTCAGCAAAACAAACGCTTAAGTCTGAGCCAGGAGTAACCACTTACTCCGTTCCAACTGCAGGAAAGTGGTAGTTCAAACCTATTGTTTCCCAGGGACCAYACTAAAGCAGATTCTACTCTCTAAAAGCTCTCAAAAAATTGCTATAAACCACTTGTCTGACGGATCCATCTGGACCTTCTTGCTTTAATTAAATTTAGCATGAAATCTAAAGCAAGATATTCCCACTGCTCATTTTATACCAGACATAATATTGCCTACTTTAGAACGTGTTGTAAAACCTGGAAYAGTGTTTACTCCATGCACATCCCTCCTGAAGGGCTTCTTATCGATCAAGTATGGGCTTATACTCCTGGAGTATTTCCAGTCCCTGAAATAGAGGCCGACACACAGGAGTTTGTAGAAAGGTCCTGCAGTGCTTTGGGAAGTGTTTCACCGCTTTGGAAGGGCTGTATTTTTTGAAGGATGGAAGAGGAAACAAGTCCAGAAGTGGCTTCTGTTGTTTCCCACTCACTTTACACTAAAAAATGAACTTGAAGCGATGTACGAAAACCAGGAGTATTTGGCTTCTATTGTATTGGAACATATGTTTGTCTTTAACATGACATAACTTCAGAGTCCAGCTTAAAATCAAAAGGTGGTATCTGAAAAGTACGAAATTACTCCAGACTTAACTCTTTGCAAAATAACTTCCCTAATTTTGAGTGGTGTCTGATGAGGTGTGAAAATCTCAGTAAGTCACACATTATCKGTATGATGTGGGAAGTCAATGTTTTCTATACCATCTCAAAAAGAATTTCTCCTTTTCAAAAAGTCTCTCCCAGCCCTATCCTCCCTTTTCCTGAATGCACAGGACAAGATGCATTGGCAAAGATGGGCAGACAATTAATTTTCTTAACATAATTCCTAATTAAACATTTTAAACAGAAGATTTCTGTTTTCTAGGCTGTGCTGTAAGCAGGATGTTTAAGCTAAAAAAACCAAACCAAAAAGAACCCAAACACTAAAGCTCAAAACCCAAAGCAGTAATAGTTAGCTGTCTTAAATGAAAAGTACCTGAAAAATGTCACAAAGAACTGCACCAGGTCCATAAAGTTGCTGTGCTGTGAGAATGCAATCTGCAAAAGAAAAGCAAATGCTTTCTGTTACTTACTGGAAAGAAAATTCATATTTCAGGGTATTTTAAAAGGATTAAAAATGACAATGGAAAGCATCTTTACTCAGAACATTTCATATTTTTGAACACAGTTTTTGAAAAAGACGAACAACATTCTGAGGGAAAAGAAAATCAATTATAACTCCAGGTTGTATTGAAAACATATATCCAAAAAATGATGCTGAACAAGTAACTCTCTCTCCCAGCCATGTTCCAAGGAATATTGTTCAGGGCACACTGAAGAAAACACTACTTCAAAAACTTAGAACAGAGGTTTCACAGAGCTGCAAACAATCTTTAATTAAAAGTGAAAATCTTTAATTATTGTTTACACAGAACCTCAAATCCAATATTTAAATTTCAAACAATATCCAGACAAGAGAATCTCCTTGAAAAAGGAACTTACACCAAGAGCTGCAAAGAGGCATGAAACACAGAAGATGACAGATACTGTGAAAAGAGCTGTGGCATTCATCTCAGCTCACTCCCCTGCAACCCAGTGGCAGAGAGAAGGAAAAAACAACGGAATATTTGGGACAAAAACCAGAGGGAAGAGGCGAACAGGAAACTGGGAGGTGGTTAGAGGCAAAAGGGAAGATTAGGGAGCCTGGGTAAAAATAACCAAGTTGAGGGGAGGCGAGCCAAGAGAAAAGCAACTTGTGCAATATTAGGAATCAGAAGTTCTTTCCAGGTACCTCCTATTTCCTCTGCCTATCAATCTCTCAGCACCACTGCAGGGTATTAACTCTTCTGTGAAGTAACAGAATTTATTTCAGAATTGAAGTGAAATCTGCACTGACAAGAGCTTTTCAAGGATATTAAACCAATTTGTGGCATCAATTGATTGTTTTTTTCCTTAATAAACAGTACTAGTGGTAACATTAGCATAAACATAAATCCCTCCTCCCTGCAATAGCCACAGCCCAAAATTCATGAATGCGTGTTAAGTGAGTCATTGCTTGGATTTCTGTTACTCTGGAACACTTTCTATTATCATAATTGTTTTAAATACCCATTTTCACTTGGTACAGAAGCTGCCCCAAATATTTTTCTTATAAATATGTTGAAAATTTTTGATGCTGAAAGTTCCTTTGCAGAGCACAACCCCTGTGCAGCTGGAAAGTGAATTCCAAACCTGCACACCAGATGCTGCAACCTCAATAATCCTGCCTACAAAAGACATGAAAACACAGAGTTTCTTGTTAATTTTTGCTTCTGAAGTGTTTCACAATAGTTTTCTGATTATAAAAAGACAGCAAGCAAAATTTCACTTTTTGTGTAAAATATCAATGACTCATTACTAAGGTGGAATAATATTTGCATAAATGGATATTCTGGAACAAACATAATATTCTGGAATGTCTTTAAGGCAAAGATAATCCTTACTAAAATATCACAACCCAAAACACAAACATATAACATGGCCAGAATAAAAGTAATAACTTTTCTTGTTATTTTTGAGAATATCCCTGATGCTGAGTAACTGTAAGAGGTGCCTTTGAAAACAAAGCCCTTGTTACATATCAACAATCCTTTGGTAGACGAGGAAAACCAAAAGCACAAAGGAATCAACAGGCCAGTCCTTTGTGGATGAGCATCAGGATCAGTTTCTGTGATGGAAACAAAAACTRGCTCCCATTAGAAGAAATAAGGATTTAATTTTAAAGTAAGAGAGATTCTATGAAAGATTAATGAGACTGTTACCACAGACAGGCTTCTCATTCCTTGATAACAATAGCAGGAAACAAAACAAAAACAAAGACAAACCAAACAAATTTAAAAAGGAAATTTTAGGTTTATTTCAGCCTTACAAAGTGGTGGCTCTTGTCTCTACCTGCTGGAGCTCTTCTCATGTAAAAGCCCAACTGAGGCCCTGTACCTCACATATGGATTAAAATAACCAGGGTGTTTCTACAATTTACTCCTCCAGCTGAAAGTACTTTGTGCCATCAAACCTGACCAATCTGTGTCACAGGCAATTTGGTCTCATAATTGTTAATGGTTTGCTTACTTAGAGCTTAATTTCCYCTAATATAATCTGTTCCCAGGACTTAATTAATTCAGTTACATTGAAAGTTTGGTTGGAAATAGCTGTTGAAAGTAGGCTGTTCATTCTGGATCCACAAAAATATGGCACCAATTTCTTAGCAGTCTGGATTTTTAATTAAGTTTAACTGACGGTAGAAGATTCATTTATACACTCGCAAAAAACTAATTTTGTACCAAAGGATGAAGCAGTTTAACTGCAGGAAAGCTCCATGCAGCTTGTGCTGGGACCTGGAAAGCCTCCTCCAGGTCCAGGGCAGAACCTGAGCTCAGCTGCACAATCAAATCACAGTCAGAAGTGTTCAGGTTYAGGATCTGAGCCCATCGAGTCCAACTGCTCCCCAGCACTGCCACACTGAGCAAATCCCCAAGTTCCACATGCACAGGGCTCTGAAATCCCTCCAGGGGCAGCACTGGACGGGGATTGCAGCACAGCCTTTCTGGGAGGACTCTTTCCCTGCTCTCCAGCTGAAAGCTCCAATGGGCACAGCTGAGTGACCTTGAGCCACTGCAGAGCAGCACTGCCAGCCCTTTGCCATCCCTGACTCTTCCCGAGCCAAACACGTCATCAGGGATGTTTTATACCATGTTCTTAGGAAAAACACCCTACCCCCAGGCAGCTATCATCAGATACTTAATGATGTTAATTCCAGAGCATCTTATAAAGCTTGTGTTTATCCCATCTGAAAAGGTACCTTACAGAGTACAACCACCTATCCTGCTTTTTCCATTGGCACATCATTTGAACTCTCCAAAAAAATCCACCTGCTTTCCAGAGGACCAGAAATAGCTGGCTGTATGGACTGACAAAAATTTATAATGAGGAGCTTTACATTTTTTTTATCATTTGATTAGCATAAAAATATGAAGCCAAGAAGAAAATTTGGCTTCCTCAAAGTAGCCAACATTTAAAAATTGCATTGGTTTGGAGATCAGTGCACACACATTTCAAATGATTCAATGGCAAATGACTTGGCCACAAAATAATATAAGCAAAGGCAAAGTATATTTGAACCCACCTAACATTTCAGTAATAGTTGATATTTCAAACTCAAAATATCGCTGGAGCTAAACTACAGCCTGTGACTGAGAGAAATTTTGAAAAATTAGGACAACTTCATACCAGGGCTTTGTTTGCAGAGTTTCTTCTTCAAGAAAAAAGAAAACACAGAATAATTTTATACAAAAGTAGGTCAACTAAGACCTAAGTTCACCTTAAACCTGTGCATGCAACAATACCTAAAATTATTTAAACCTCTATTCTTGTGATCCACAAGTGCTTTGAACACATGGAAAACAACTTGAGTTTCACATACCACTAAGAAAAATTAGTCCCCAATGAAATAAAGAATTATGTAGAATTTTTTTGCTAAATCCAGTAGTACCAAATTTGAGTAACTCCTCTCATTTAACTGCAATAAACAGATGCACGAGTAATTCATCACAGCATAACTCTTTCCACTTGTGCTGGAAGTTACTGATATTTCAGAGGAAGACAAACTGTTCACCACAATAGGATTAGGACAAATCCCTCTCCAGATTCAAATTATTTCCAATATTGTAAATAATATTAGCACCCCTAACCTAAAATTAACTGAAGAACTGCTAATGAGGAAATTGGAGTTGTTGGAGAAGGTTCTGGGAAGACTTTCCAGTGCCTAAAGAGGCTCCAAGAGAGGTGGAAAGGGACTGGGGCCAAGGGCTGCAGGGACAGGACCCGGGGAATGGCTCCCAGKGCCAGAGGGCAGGGATGGATGGGATTTTGGGCAGGAATTGTTCCCTGTGGGGTGTKRGGCCCTGGCACAGGGTGCCCAGAGCAGCTGTGGATCCCTTTGAGTGCYCAAGGCCAGGCTGGACATTGGGGCTGGATCCATGGGACAGTGGGAGTGTCCCTGCCATCGATGGGGTGGCACTGGGTGGGATTTAAGGTCATTTCCCACCCAAACTATTCTGGGATTCCATGAATATACCAAAGAATATTGCAAGTATGGCAATTTCATGCCGTAATTTGATATCTTTTGTATCTCTAAACACTTAAGAAAACATGGACAACCACAGAAAATAGTGTCTCTATAAATTTTTAGATTTTTTAACCTTGGTAACAACTCAGGATTATTGACTCAGTATATTTCTATCTTTCTTCAGAGCTACACAAAGTGACTAAATTCATTCCAGTGGTGCCTTCCTTTCCATCCATTTCTTATTAGGGATGAGAAAAAGAGAAATTAAAAATTGTGTTTTGCACAGGACATGCTCCTAGAATACAACTGCGTAAAAAAGAAAAATAAAAATCTAATTAACTTCTGAAACCAGAGGGGTCCAACAGAGAAGGCACAATGTGTAACTGGCTCCTGGAGCTCAAAGCTTGCTGTGAATTCAGAAGGTATCAAAAGGTCCTACTGCTACTTCCATTAACCTTACCTAGCAGGTGGGAGAATGCTACAGCACTCGTGTTTTGAAAGTCTACAGGACCACACAGAAATTTAGAGATTCTTGGGCTGCTTTTTATTTCAATTCAGCCCCAACCCCAAAGTCAATAAACAAATAGCAGCAGGGAAAAGTGGAAGGCTGGGAGCTCCACAGGCTTCCAGCATGAGAAAGCCATGAGCCAAATAAGCCACAGGTGACATTCATGCACATCTTCCTCCGTTTCTTCCCAAAATTCTACTGTCTTGTCTCTTTTTTCCTATGGTTAGAGGSAAGGATTCGATCTGACCTTGGAGAACACACACAATGCCAACAGGACGCCAYGGCCTGAATGCTGAGTGCCTTCACCAAAGGACCTGCGGTAAAACMAAGGGGCTGAAGTGTTCTTGAGTGATGCCAAAGTCATCAAAACGTTCATTTTGTCTCTAGGATGATGCTGGGGCAAAGCTTCCCTTCTGCTCAAGCGCATCACCATTGCCAGTTCTCCTT